TGGTTCTAAATAAAATACGATTCATTTAATTAGTGAGAGCCATGTCCATGCAATAGGTACATCATTAAAACTGAGAAGTGTAGTTTACTTGAAACATAAAGAGACCTGAGTTATTAAGAATATTACTTAATATGAAAAAGAAGATTAGTACTAAAAAAGAAATATTTTTGAAAGTTTCTGAGGAGGAAAAAATATACAATTGGGCTTATTAATGAAGTAATTGGATACTTTAAGTATCTTACTTGGTTGAAGCACTGTTAAAGCAGCACGACGACAACAACAACAACAACACACAACAAAACCAGTAATAGCATGGGTGCTTCCTAGTAATGCAAAGATGAAAGGGACTGAGGCCATGCAATACACTTTGCATGATTTCTTGGGCCTATAATGAGAAAATTTGTAATATAGATCAGCGAATTCATATCAATAATAATGATTATGATAATTTACTAACTGTTAAAGAGAATAATAAAACAATGAGGAAGAGACTGTTAAAGAATAAAACATAACACTAAAAATGTTTTCAAAATAAGATCAGTAAAGGAAAATACTGAAAAGTGAAGTTGTCATATTTGCTAAGGATCTATGCCAGGTTCAAGGATTTTTGTCTCAACAACAGCAAGGAGAGGACATGTTAGTTCAAAATAACTGACATTTAATTAAAGAGCAGAACAAAGTAAGTGACAAGAGAAATCCATTTCATGTACACAGGACCACAATCTCCCAAAGGCTACCTTGCCATACTACCGGTGCGAGAAAGAACACATATAGTGAACATCAATAAGCAAGGGATGCATGTAGAGAGGGTACATGCAAAGGGAACATTTATGGCCAGGGTGATGCACGTGGGAGAAGTAAATAGAAGAAAAATGAGTGAGAGAGAAAGCACATGAGTCAGGGTAATCCATACTCCTATGACTGTTGCATCTATTGATGTACTTTTCTTGAACTCCGTTTCCAAATTCTTCCACCATATGTAGCACTGAAGTTCAGAAAAGTGTCTCAGCCAATCTCCTCCAGAATACCCAGTACTCATTGTCATAAGGCTACTGTTCAAGAAAGTGACCCATAGGAAGGAAGAGAATTACATTGATTGCGGACTTTAATGGAAATTAATTTCACCACCAACATCAACATCATCATCAGTCATTACTACCATAATCATCATTATCATCTTCATTATCTCAGCTAGCATTAATAGCTAGCATTTATAGTTTTAAATTTTACAGAGCACTTTACAAACATTAATTGATTTTATCCTCATAACCCTAAGAGATAGATAGTATTACCTCCATTTTTCAGATAGGAGATTGAAACAGACAGAGGTAAAGTGTCTTGCTAAGAGTCACACATCTAAAATATTTGAGGCCAGATTTGAACAGAAATCTTCCTGACTCCAAATCCAGTTCTCTATCTACTCTGTCACTCAGCTGCATAATCTTATCTGGTGAGCAAGTTTTGGAAGGAAGAAAGCTTTATTAACCACTGGGTTAAATTGGAGGTGGGAGAGTATGTATGTCAGATGGATGGAGAGAGGAAAAATACTTATATATTTTAAAAGATCTACTGTTGCATTGGAAGGGTTGTCCCATCACAATAGAGTATGCTTCCTCCTTTCCTTAATGGACAGTTTTATGAGTCTTTGTAACTAAACCAAAGAATCAATTGGCAGCCAGTCTTTTGGCAATCAGCCTCTTCACACTTAGGTAGGCTTTTCCTAGGATAATACTCTCAGGGCCTGTGGTCTAACATTTTATTTCACCCACTCTGGACTTTGTCATCATGATGGGGCCTTTAGAGGTAGACTTTAGTGGAGGGACAGAGAAGAGATAGAGAATGGAAGGGCATAGAAAATAAGCCTAAAATGAACAATTTAAGTGTGCATAAAGTAGGTGCTATCCAAGATTAGAGATCAGAGAGGAATCTGGTGGAACTTCTCTTCGTAAAAGAGATAGCTCCATTTGAGAAAAATTAAAGATGAATACATTTAGCTTTATAAAAGTAGATACCTATTTGGGAAATTGAACAATTTATTCCCTCTTTAGATTCTCACAAACAAAACCTATATATTTAGATAATATTATATGCAGGAATCCAGGTATATTCTGTGTGATTTGGCTACTGTGTTGTCTCACTTTTTCTTTCTGATACTTCCTTTGAGTTTTATATCCTTTATTGTTTTCCTTTGATTTTTATTTTCTCAATTTAGTGCATCTGACTCATTTCTCCCGAGTACCCTAAAGGTAAAATTATTTCAGTGTGGGAAAGTAGTCAGACAATCAGAAATATGCAATAGCAAATATCTTTTAAAATTCTAAATGTTTGTTATTTTGCAAATATCCTGGGCCTAGTGGATACAGCACTGACCCTGGAGCCAGAAAGACTCATCTTCTGGAGTTCAAATCCAGGCTCAGACAATTAATAGCTGTGTGACCCTGGGCAAGTCATTTAATTCTATTTGCCCCGGTTTCTCATCTATAAAATGAGCTGGAGAAGGAAATGTCAAAAGTATCTCTGCCAAGAAAACCTGAAATGGGGTCATGAAGAGTGGGACGTGACTGAAGATAACTCAACAACAACAACAAATACCAAAGGAGTATAAGCCTTATCTGTTTCTATCAAGTTGGAAATCATTAAAGAATGGGCAACAGGCTTTGTATCTATTGTCCAAGGATCATGACAGCTCAGTTAACAAGGGCTCATCGTTGGGTTAAGACATTGGGAAAGGCTTAATGGAGAAGGTGACTTTTGAGTGAGCTCAAGAGTAGATAGAAATTTACTAAGCAAAGAGTGGAAAAGAAAGCACTTGGTACAGGGAACAGCCTGAGCACATGCATAGAGATTAAAAAAATAGTATATTTTCAAAATTCAAGTAGATGTCTGATCTTTCTTTCAGAAGTAAATAGGGTATGGATAGGCATAATGTGGGATAAGGCCAAAAAGGTAATGTGGTACTAGATAGTAGAAAGCCATGAATATCAAGAAAGAAGAGGCTTGAACTTCATTTAGTACGTAAGATTTTGGGGCAATGTGGTGACCAGATTTGTCGCTATTTGACACAAATAGTGACTATGTGGCTGAAAAAAAAATTTGCTAGAAAACTAGAAAGCAATTTGGCAAAAAATAGGTGTAAACTAACATCTCATACCATGTACTAAGATAAGGTCAAAATAGGTGCGTGATTTAGATAAAAAGGGTGATATCATAAGCAAATTTGGGAAGCATGGAAATTTTTATCTGTCACATCTATGGATAAGGGAAGAATTGATGGCCAAGCTAGAGATACAAAGGATGACAGGAAGTAAAATGGATAATTTTTTACTACATTAATTTAAAAAGTTTATACACACACACAAAAATAATGCAACCAAAATCAGGAGACAGATAACCTGAAATCAAATACTGCTCTGCTATGTGCTATTTATGGGACCTCAGGCAAGTTCTTTCTTTTCTCTGGACCTCAAGTTTCCTTATGGAATTTTAGAGGTTAACTAAATGGATTTTTCTTACTCTAACATTCTAGTGTGGGCATTATCAAACCATTGGCTGTGGGCAAAATCCATCTGATAACTTGTTTTTGTATGAATCATGTACTTTTTATTTGTAGGCTATATAAAAACAGTCAGTGGCTAGCTCTGGTCTGTGGCCTAGGATTTGCTGGCCTTTCTTCTAGTGTATTGTATTCTAAATATTTGCCTAGAAATTGGTCGTTGGAAACCTGGTATGTACTTTGTCATAGAAACAGTTGTTACATACGGTTAGGGTCTCAAGTCAGTCTGTAAAACACACCCTATTTAATTCATTGCATATCTAAAGCAGTCTAATAATACTGTAGAAATTAGCCATTGTATATAACATCATTTCTTTGAGAAGAGGCATTCAGATTTCCAACTTGAAAGGCCAGAAAAAAGTCTCTACATCTCAGTACAGCCCCCATCACATTACTACTTGCTACTACTATTTACTAATAGTAAATACTATTTACTAGAAGTGCTACCTCTGCTACTACTACTATGACCATTATAATCCCCATGAATACTACCACCTCTTTTGTTACCGTAACTGCCACCGACGTCATTGCAACTGCATCTTCTTCTCTTCCTCCTTTCTCTCTTTTTCCTCATCCCCTTTCTCCTCTTTACTCTCATCCCCCTTTGTCACTGATAATGCTGGGAACTAGAGTATTTAAGAAAAAAAGTTGATATATGGGGTCATCAGTGGAAGAATTGGTGGTAGGTAGAATTTATCTCCTTTCCTTTCTTTTCTTCTAGTTATCAGCAATTCGCTCACCATATAGACTATTATTTCTTCTTACTGTTGCTACTGGACTTTGACACAAGGAGTTAACTGGAGACTAGGGTCAGAAGAAAAGAATATATATGATTCCAATAAGAAGAAGAGATAAGAAAGGGCATAAAATTCCTTGTAGCAAGGGGACAATGACCACTTCAGTTTAGTGTGTAAACCAAGCATGCAGGTCAGGGATTGACTTTTCTGACATCTTAGGTATGGCTTATACCATTCTTTGAAAGGTTTGTGTGCTAACATTTTTTTGCAAGAATTATGGTCACCATCAAAGATAGATTATTAGACAGTGGACCCATGCTCACAGCATAATTCAGCAATTATTTTAGTGAAATTCAAATTTGTGTAATGGGCTATGCCAAGTAGTGAGCAGACAATATGTTTATGATACAGAGCCTCTGTAATCTCTGTTCCTTATATTGTTGTTATATTATGGTTCTAAAATTGTCTTGCAATCTGATGGACTTAGGTGCATTATCTGGAAGACCTTACATTTAATTGTATTTGCATCATTAGCCTCTTGGGATTGGTTTCACTGGCCAGTGAGTGGTTACTATCCTTGAACTGTGCTACAATGAAGATTGAATGTTATATTGTGATGTGTTTGCACAAAAGAACCTGCAACTGTGTTAGTATGTATTTGTATTTATTTCCAGGTCTTGCTACTGACAGCCTTATTTTGTGTCTTTCAGTAAAAAAAGCAATTGAGCTGAAGTCAAGAGGAGTCAAGATGCTGCCCAACAAGGACAATAACCATAAAAATTCTGTCTGTAAGTCCTATTTTTTTTCTTTATGTGAATGTATATATTTTTTAAAACAGAAGGGATAAAGAGAATGCAACAATTAAGGAAGAAAAACTCTACATGCAGTCTTTCTCTTTTTGTCTTTTCTCAATTTCCCACTTATAAATGTATTTTCTAGGAAGAGAGGGAGTACTGGGTTCACACAACAGACAAAGTAGGTAAACACAAATTTTCTCCTACCTTGTAGGATCTGTTGTTCCTTTTTATTATTTCTCTAATTTAAAAGGCTAATGTAAATGCCATGGTCTTACTTTAGACACAGATGATACAGGTCAACTTTGGAGGACTTCTCCTTCTTTGACTGACAGTCATCTATGCTCCACTAATCTGAGAACTTCAGTTTTAAACTACCTGCTATGCTGTAGTGTCTAATACACCTTATCACTGTAGAGGTTCACGACTTAAAGGATGAATAGGTTTATTTTGTCATCAAAAACAAAGAGAATAGTCCTATTAGAGAAAGGGAGAAGTTATCTCTCTATTATCTAGTATAGTCTCAGTCACTTATACTCCACAATGGATAGACACAATAGATGCGTCTCTTTTTGGAGTTATCATTTTTTCATAATCTTTAGCTAGGTGGCAGTCATCACATTACACAGCCTGTTGTTCTCCCCTCAACTCCTCAAAGAAGGATGCTAACAACAACCTTTCATATTTTCTTTGCCTATTGCTGGTGTCATGTTTAAGTTTCTCCTAATAGAGTCCCTGTAATCTCTTTCCATTGTTCCTTATTGGCTATTATCTCAGTCCAGTAATCTTAGACAAAAGGCCTTCCCTCATAGGCAAGGACAGAACTGGTAACAGCTATTTTCGAGGAGACTCAGAGACTTTCTTCCTCAAACCCCTGTGTTCGAATGTGTTGCATTGCACAAAAGAACCTTGCTCTGTGTTTTCTCCATGAATTAAATTCTTCTCACGTCTTACTTCCCCATCTATACTTAGCAACCAGAAGCACTACATTTTTTAGCATTGAATTCCCTTGAGGCCCACATCTTTGGGACATTTTCCTTTTCTCGTTCTCCTTTAGCTTCCTGGGTGGGTAACTTAGCTGGGTAACCTAGTACATTAATCAATACTTGTTAACTGAACTAGGCTAGCATGTTTTGTCATGAATCTTTTGGACTCACTTGGTCATAGCTTTGAACGGAGTTTGTAAGCCTTTGAAACTTCCAACTCCTCTCATTTTATAAACAAAGAATGTGAGGTTTGTAGAAATGAATTAACTTGCCCAACATACATCAGTATGAAGTAACAGAGGCAAAATTTGAATACCAGGTCCCTAATTCCAAATTATTTTTTCTTTCCATTGCACCACACTGCCTTCCTCCAATCAATTTATTTTTTTCCCCTACCAATTTAGCCTACTCTAGACTAATGAGGTCTCTTTTGGATCTATAGTCTATCACCTAACATTTTACCATCTTATAACACTTGAGTGTAGTATCACCACAGTTTATTTTATGTTTACCATCTTATTGTAATTTATATTATCCAAAAATTTAATAATCATGTTAACTACACCTTCATCCAAGTAACTAATAAAATGTTAATAAAAAAGGTTCTAGGAAAGATACCTGGTACAATCCACTTTAAGGATTTCCTTTTCAATTTGACATGAAGTCATTAATACCTTCTCTTGGGTTCAGGTCATTTGACCAGTTCCAAAACTACTTTACTGTATTTTATCTTTCCCATATTTCTCAACTTTATCCATATGCATAGCAGGAGAGATTCTGTCAAATTCATTTGTTGAAGTCTAAGTTTGCTGCATTGACAGCAATTTCATAGTGCAGTGGCCTTGTAATCTTTCAAAAAAGAAGAAATTGGTCTTGCATGACTTGTTCCTGATGAAGTCACTGCCTCTCCTTCTGGATACTCATATACCATCCTTTTGGTTAATATGTTGGTCTAGGGAATATAAATTCAGCCCTCTTTCCCCCCCCCCCAGATAAGTGCTTTTGACCTTCATTAGTTCTCTAACACTATTCTGTTCTCCAGGGTCTTCCAAGGTCTTTTACAGACCACTGTCAGAAGCTCAATAATCACACCTGCCAATTCTTTCAGTTCACTAAGGATCAATTTGTTTGGGCCTAATGACTATGCCACTTTACTAACTCCTTCCTTATATTTTGTGTCCACTTCATGCTAGCCATTTTTATTCAGCCTTTCCCAATTCAAAGTATAGTTTTCTTTGGAAGAGAAAATAAAATTAAGATAAAAGTTGGGTAGTTTAGCTTTCTCATGATTTTTAGGTCTCATGGTTTTTAGGTCATTAAAGAGTCTAAACTCAATCTATATTTATAGTCTTATTTCATATTATCTCTCTCTCTTTTTTTTTTTTATTTTTAGGCGATTGGGGTTAAGTGACTTGCCCAGAGTCACACAGCTAGTGTCAAGTGTTTGGTCTGATTTGAACTCAGGTATTCCTGACTTCAGGGCTGGTGGTCTGTGCACTACGCCACCTAGCTGCCCCTCATATTATCTCTCTTGATACACTCTAAATTCCAGCCAGATTTAACTACTTGCTCTTCTCTAACCTCAATATTACACTTCTAGCTCCTGTGTGTTCTGAGAAGTGTTCTTTCCCCCTTACATGGGATGAACTATGTCCTCATATATTTATTCCTTGTCTCCCTTCAAGGCTGAGCTAAGGTGTGCCCTACTTACGAATCCTCTCCTCTCCTCCCTAGTTGTTAGTGTTTTCTCCCTTAGCAAATTTCTTTCTATGTACTTATATATATATACAATATCTTCACCTTACAGGAGAATGGAATCAGGAATGGTGGGGGTTTTTTGTTATTTCTTTGTTGTTGTTGTTTTTTATCCCATAGTAGCTAGCACATAGTAGATACTTTTAAATATTTTTTGAATTGGTGAATATAAGTTCAGGGATATGTGATGATTCCTGAATGGGTTGGGAGTAGGAGAGAGGAGAGGATGCTTACTCATCTGAAAACCAAACAAGTTTGACTAGATGACCTCTGGAGCTCCTTCCACCTCTAGCTCTACAATGCTGTTATCAACAGCACTTACCTCATAGGATTGTTGTGAGGGTGAAGTGTGAATGCATTAAAATGCTTTGCCAACTTTAAAATGCTATAGAAATGCCAATTTCTGTTGTTAACACTAGGAAAAAAATTTCTAGTTGACCTTTTACTTGGGGCAGTATTGACCCCATCACCTAAAGCATTATGGACATGTTAATTCTACATTCATTTTTGGTTCTGTTGCTGCTCCTTAGCAACACAGGTCCACTAAACACACACACACACACACACACACACACACACACACACACACACACACACACACACTTTGCCATTGGCATCTGCCCAAGTAACTGGATCAGTACCTTTTATTATGTGTCCACCCTTAACTGGTGCTACAGAGTTTATGGAAGACATAGAAACTGATATAATTTTGATGGAGCTGTGAATGAGTTCAACCATTCTAGAAAACCTTTATCAATTATGTAAGAATGGCCACTCATCTATCCAGAAATTCCACAACTGGCCCTATACCCCAAGGAGAGCAGACAGAAAAAATGTCCCCATCTACATACCAAAGAATCACAGAAAAGCTTCTTATGCAAGGAAAAATAAAAACAAAGCAAACCTGGAAACAAACTGGGATATGTGATGATTCCTGAATGGGTTGGGAGTAGGAGAGAGGAGAGGATGCTTACTCATCTGAAAACCAAACAGGTTTAACTAGATGACCTCTGGAGCTCCTTCCACCTCTAGCTCTACAATGCTGTTATCAACAGCACTTACCTCATAGGATTGTTGTGAGGGTGGAGTGTGAATGCATTAAAATGCTTTGCCAACTTTAAAATGCTATAAAAATGCCAATTTCTGATGTTAACACTAGGAAAAGAATTAATTGGAACAGTTGCCTATTAGTGCTTTCATTTAAATCATTGCAGTCATTGTGGAAATTGTTTTCTTAGTTCTTCTTTCTGTGCTCTGATTCAATCTATGCTAGGTTTATTAAATTTCTCTGAATTCTTCATAATCATCATTTCCTATGGTACAGTAATAGTCAATTATGTTCATGTACCATCATTTATTCAGTTGCCCCTATTTTATGGCTGCTCAGTTTGTTTCCAGGTTTGTTTTGTTTTTATTATATTATATTACTGAGTCTTATGCCTCCTAAATGATTCTTGGTAATTCTATGGGATCTAATCTATTAAGCCAATATTAGTTAAATAGTGGTTATGACCAGGTAAATAAAACCCAACTCTTATTTAATTATATGCTGAGCCAGGACTCCTAAAACCACTATATTCAGTTGCTTTAAAAATCTGCTAAATAAATCTTTATTTTATAAGGATCAATTGAAATATTGTTAACTAATATTAGTGATACCTCCCCCGCACACATAAAGTTAGAATGTGTATAAACTCCCTTGACAAAGAAAAACAGTTAAGCAAAATTGACTGACAAAGCAAATCAATGCAAACAACATTATGTGTACAAATACTCCTACAGCTCTCTGAAAAACAAACAAAACAAACTTCAGAACCAAGAAAAAGGAGGGGGGATGTATTCATGTAGTACCTCAGATCAGAATTAACCATCACCCTTAATTGGAACAGTTGCCTATTAGTGTTTTCATTTAAATCATTGCAGTCGTTGTGGAAATTGTTTTCCTAGTTCTTCTTTCTTTGCTCTGATTCAACCTATGCTAGGTTTATTAAATTTCTCTGAATTCTTCATAATCATCATTTCCTATGGTACAGTAATAGTCAATTATGTTCATGTACCATCATTTATTCAGTTGCCCCTATTTTGTGGCTGCCCAGTTTGTTTCCAGGTTTGTTTTGTTTTTAGTTTTCCTAGCATAAGAAGCTTTTCTGTGATTCTTTGATGTGTAGATGGGGACGTTTTTTCTGTCTGCTCTCCTTGGGGTATAGGGCCAGTTGTGGAATTTCTGGATAGATGAGTGGCCATTCTTACATA